TAGATGTAATGTATTATTATTAATGTCTCGAAAGCTTTTACTAAACTTACTTTTGGTAAGAGAAATGTCATTGCTAAAGCCACCTAGATTTTAAATTATTTCGTTTATTTTTGTGTATTACCGTAGAAAATACATTATTCTGTTGGGTATATTATTTATTTATTACTGATTTAAGTTCATTGCTAAAATATTTCAAAACAACAAATGAACATTTGAGGTGTATTGACTTGTTAAATAAAAAAAGTTGACAAAATTTAAGACGAAATTAAAGTGATCAAAATATTCCTATTAATCTTTTGCAATTTGTAATCTAATGTCAAATAGAAATTTCTAAATATTATTATGTATTTTTGAAAGCAGAGATTTTCATAAAGAATAACTTGTTTTTTCGTAAAAGCTACAATAAAAAAGTTTCCCATATGTTGCAAACTTTTTCAGAGACATACTGTATATTGATATAAACCTGTCTTCTTAAAATCATCCAAATATTCACATCTCGAAGTATCGCCATCAATTAATTTACACCCTATACAGGATATCTCAAAATTGACTCCCATCCTTTCGCATTATCAATAAAGAGACCAAAATAAGTGTAAACGAAAGAATACAAATTTTACATTTTTTATTACATACTTTGGTTTTTGAGTTATTGATAAAAACAAACATCTCAAATTCAATCAGAAAATAATGAAGTAAGTTTAAATCGAATGACTGACATAGGTTACTATGATGATTTTGAAAATTTTAAATTAGATCTGTCATTATTAGTGCCTATAGGTATAATGTCAAACGGTCAATATCTTCACTTTGAACATAACAATAAATTCAGTTTAACAGTGATGTTAAAATTACTTTATATTATGTAATTAATTACAATTACTTTTGGCAATTTGTAATTAATTGCAATTACAATTACAAAAATTGCGAATGTTATTACAATTACAATTACAATCACAATTACTTTGCTTTGGTGTCAGTTTTAAATAATTATTTAGGGATTTGCAATCGAAATTAAACTTTCCACGTATTGAAAATATAAAATAAGTACTTTTGTGTCCAATGTAATTGAAATGTAATTGTAAAATGTAATTGTAATTGTAACGAAAGGAGTAATTGAATTACAAATGAATTACAATTGAGAAGCTTGTAATTAATTACCGCCTCAATTACACTAAAAGTAATTCAATTACTTTTTCAATTACTTGTAATTAATTACTTAACAACACTGGTTATACCTATACATTTATTACACAACTAATTAAAAATGTTTAAAATAATCATAGCAACCTATGCCAATCATTCGTTTTAAGCTTAGACACTTCATTTCTAATAACATTTTCTGATTGAATTTAAGTCGTTTGTTTTCATCAATAACTCGAAAACCAAAGACAAAACGTAAAATTTTTAATCTTTCGTTTACGCTTATTTTGATCTACTAATTCATAAACCGAAAGGCCGGGCGTCAATTTTGAGACACCCTGTATAATTTACCAATTATTAAACTTGTAAGAAAAAAAAATTGTAAATTTTCAATCAAGACACACCGGCGCCACATTTTAAATACAGTGTGTCCACTGTATGTGGTTGCCTATAGGAGAAAATTTTTTATTATTCATTTTACGACAAAAAGTCATAGTTTATAAATTTTGTTGCTTCTTTTAAAAATGAGAATAACACTGAAAAATCTTAGATTGGATCTACAGGGTGTTTCCAAATTAAGAAAACATGAAAATACCTCAAGAGAGAAGTACCATTATTTTTTATTTTACACAAAATTTTTATAAAAGAAAGTTGTTTATAATAAAATAAAGCCTGAATACAAATTTTCAAATTAAAATTCCAATTTTGTGTGTCCACGGATGGAGTTGACCAGAGGAGAAAATGATTATTAATTTTACAAAAAAAAAGTAATTCTTTATAAAAAAGAGCATTAAAAGAGAGATTAAAAGCATTTTTTTGTAAATAATAATGTAAGATAATAAATAAATTCTTTCGTTCTTTCTTGAAATTTTTTCCTGTTTCCTGTTTCTTAACACCCTATACGTCTTATTTAATGTTTTGATATGTGAATTTTATAATTCGTAAAATTAATAATAACCATTTTTCTTATCTGGTCAACTTTATCTAGGGATACACAAAATTTGAATTTAAGTTTGCAAATTTGTATTCAGGCTTTATTTTGGATTATAAACAACTTTCTTTCATAAAAAATTTATGTAAAATAAAAAATAATGGTACTTCCCTCTTGAGGTATTTTCATGTTTCCTTAATTTGTCAACACCCTGTAGATCCAATCTAAGATTTTTCAGTGTTATTCTCATTTTTAAAAGAAGCAAAAATTTTTATAAACAACGACTTTTTGTCGTAAAATGAATAATAAAAATTTTTCTCCTATAGGCAACCCCATCCGTGGACACACTGTATACTGTGTTATTTATAAGATGCGACATAGGGATTCCTGTACAAATGTGTTAAAAGCAAGCTAATTTTTTTACCAAATAACGTTGATAAAAAATAATAACAGATTTGAAAAGATCGTAAAAAAATAAGTCGAAATAGACATTAAATTTTCTTAAATTCGTTCTGGTTTATTAAAAAAATGTATAATTAAGTTGAAAAAGTCACACGCAATAAATAATTCCTTTTTATAACACTATCTAATTTGTTGTAAAAGGGGCGGAACTAACAGAGATGGTTAACGCTCTGCAATTTGAATAATTAATTTTTAAGTAATGTGGTTCAAACCACGCTTGGGGCAAAGTTTTTTTGTTTTTTTTTGTTTTTTTTAATGTTTTTGTCTAAAAAAATGTTAAATAAAAGTATTTAAATTATAAGAGAGGTTAATTGGGTTTCCTAGAAAATAAGGTTGTTGAATATCAACCAGACAGAAGAGGAATTGAAAAATATTATTACTAACGAATGTCAAAAAATTAGTAGAACTAGAATAATGATTAGTAAAACTAATCGTAATTAATAATGTACGGCGGAACTTTTATCATCATTTGGGACTGTTTAGCAGAAAAAAAACAATTTGAACATTTAATTAAATTAAAATAAATTTATGTCCTAAATAAGCTTGTCTTATTTTAAATACTTTTATTTAACATTTTTTTAGACAAAAACATTAAAAAACCAAAAAAAAAAAAAAAACCAAAAAAAAACTTTGGCCCAAACGGGGTTTGAACCACATTACTTCAAGATTATTTTTTCAAATTGCAGAGAGTTAACCATCTCTGTTAGCTCCGCCCCTTTTAACAATTATTAGATAGTGACATATGACATATGACTTTTTCAACTTAATTATATTTTTTTTAATAAACCAGAATCAATTTAAGAAAATTTAATATCCATTTCGACTTATTTTTCGAGGATCTTTTCAAATCTGTCATTATTTTTTACGAACGTTATTTGGTAAAAAAGTTAGCTTGCTTTTGACACATTTCTACAGGAATCCCTATGTCGCATCTTATACTTAAATAACACAGTGTATACTATAACGAAAAAATAAAAAAATAAGAAAACCGGACGCACCCAAAAAGAAATAGCGGCGTTTGGAGACTTTTTTAAAGAAAAGCGCTCGGGTTAGCCCGGGGATCTTTCTGATTACGATAACGTACAGTTAGTAGAACTCCCATAAACTGAAACACATGCAACCACAGGTTATGTTATATTTATACAGGGTGTGTCACATTTAAAAGGGGTGAAACACTACGGGTGTTTTTGCGGGGGTAGAAAAACAAAGATATAGATTTGTTTTTAATCGGTCGTATATGGCTTAATTTTTATACAGGTTGTCCCAGAATTGCTGGGACGCAGAGCTACCACCTGTAGTAGATCCAATTTAGATCCTGTATAGGGTGTCCTACGACGAGTTAAAACTAGCTGTATATTGGAAACTACTTATCCGATTTAAATAATATTTGGTATGTATACAGGGCTTTTCACGGTAACCGTCCATTAGAAGTATCTCAATAATGAAAAGACTTAAAAATCTGAAATTTTGGTTATAGTATTTTTTGGATAATATGAATTGATCTAAAATATTTTCATTTTGATTACACTTCCGGTTGTACCGGAAGTTAATACCAACTTCGTTATTTTATATGGAAAGTGACATATTTAACTTCATTTTTGAATTCTATGGCCTTTTTTAACTAGACTTTGATAATAACATCATATGCCAAAAATGCATTATTTTTAAGATATTACAATTTTTTTGATATTTTTTGGAAAAACAGTCGAATGTATTATCTGTCATATCTGTTAATAATGAAGGTAGAAGCTTGAAATTAAGTATCGATGATGTCCAGACTAACTACTAAATGAAACTAAACTGTATTTTCAGAATCCATGTACAGGGCGTTTAAAATTGTCTGACAAACTTGGCCAAATTAAAGTAGTCATAACTTTGTTATTTAAAATGGACCACCGTGTATTTTTTAACAGTGACCAATGCAGTTTTTTAAGCCCTTTCGATCCATATGGGTATTCCCTATACCCAAATCCAGTAGTTTTTGAAATAATCGAAGTTTTATTAAATAAGGTATGAATTTTTATCTAGTTGGCCATTTGATGGCCAACTTCTAAATAATTCTAGGTAGTTCTAAATGGTTCTGAACTTCCTTATTTTATCATGGACCGTTCCAAATATTTTTAAACGATTCTAGGCAGTTATAAATTGTTCTGAAATTTCCTAATGTATCCTAGATAGTTACCAATAGTTATAAATTAATCTAGACAGTTCTAAACGGTTCTGAACTTCCCAGTTTTATCCTGGACAGTTCCAAAAAGGTTCCGAATCGTTTCTAAACGATTCTAGACTACTCTAAAACGTTCCGAACTACACTATTTTATCGCGTATAGCTCCTAAAAAATCGATATTTTTCTACCCCGAAAACACCTCATTGTCAGTTCCCCTTTTCAATATGACACCCTGTATATTATATAAAACTACACACACCGGTTCAAATAACCACCAAATAACTTCCCCGTTTACTTACTTCAGAAAAACTAAAAAACAATCCGATCCAACCGCACAGCTTGAAAGCGTAATTGATAGTCTTTTGGAGTTTATCGTTGCAATTTGAACATTGACAATCGATCGCAGTGGGACTGGGACAAACGCGATCCTAAGGAACAAAAAAAAATATACAGTGCATTTCTTTAATGAATTCTTGAATGCAATTCTTTAAATAAATAGTAGAGGTAAATGCTTCTCTAAAGGCTCAAAAATGGCTCTAACGCTCATATATTCGCTTTGGCAATTTGGCTTATCAACATGATAACTGTCAGTGTGATCAGCAAATGTGTGGTCAGTAAATCATTTTTAGATGTCCTGAACAGTTCTAAGTAGTTCTGAAACGTTCTTACATGTTCTGAACAGTTCTGATGAGTTCTGCACAGTTCTGAAGCGTTCTGAAAAGTTTTGAATAATTCTAGTTCGTCCTAAATCATTTTTAGATGTCCTGAACAGTTCTAATTAGTTCTGTACAGTCCTGATGCATTCTTAAATGTTCTGAGCAGTTCTTATTAGTGCTGAAGTTTTCTTAAATGTTCCAAACCTTTCTGAAAGGGTCTTAGATGCCCTAAACAATTCTAAAGCATTTTAAATAGATCTGATTAGTACTGAGGCGTTCTTAAAGGTTCTGCACAGTTCTGAAGCGTTCTGAAAAGTTTTGAATAGTTCTAGTTCGTCCTAAATCACTTTTAGATGTCCTGAACAGTTCTAATTAGTCCTGAAGTATTCTTAAATACTCTGAACAGTTGACTAGTTCTGAAGCTTTCTGAAAAGTTTTAAACAGTTCTAGTTCGTCCTAAATCATTTTTAGATGTCCTGAACAGTTCTAAGTAGTTCTTGAACTGAAGCGTTCTTACATGTTCTGAACAGTTCTGATGAGTTCTGATCAGTCCTGATGCGTTCTAAAATGTTCTGAACAGTTCTGATTAGTGCGAAAGCATTCTTAAATGCTCTGAACAGATCTGATTTTGGTTCTGAAATGTTCTTAAATGTTCTGAACTGTTCTGACGCGTTTTTAAATGCTGTAAAGAGTTCTGAAGCCTTCTGAATTGTTCTAGCGAGTTCCAGACGATTTCGGACAGTTGTAAATGATTCTGGAGAGTTCTATAAATGATTCTAGACAATTCTAAATGATTCTGGAGAGTTTAAGTTTGTTCTAGATGCTTCTAAATCATTATGAACAGTTTAAAACGGTTCTGAACTTCACTAAATTAACTTGGACCATTCCAAATAGTTCTAAATGATTCCAGGCAATTCTGAAAAGTTTTGAATCGTCCTCGGACATTGTCAATAGTTTTGAACTATTGTAATTCCTTCGTAAAGAGTTCTGAATCGTCCGGAAATCATTTTAAATCGTTCTGAACTGTTATGAATAGCTGTGGATCGTTTCTAATCATTTTAACAAGAGTTGTAAGTGATTTTGGACATTTCTAAATGATTCTGGAGCGTTCTAATTTGTTCTAAACGCTTCTAAATCTTTCTGAACAGTCATAAATGATTCTAGACAATTCTAGACAATTCTAAATCGTTCTAAAGTGTTTTGAATAGCCCTCAAGCATTGTTAATTCATTTGAACTGTTGTAATTCCTTCCAGAAGAGTTCTGAATCGTCCGAAAATCATTCTAAATCGTTCTGAACTGTTCTGAATCGTCCTGAAGCGTTTTAAATGATTCTAGCATGTTCTAAATTGTTCTATATGAAGCATCTAAATCATTCTAATCGCTTTTAAATAATTCCAGACAATTCTAAATGGTTGTTAATTTAACCTGGACCGTTCCAAACAGTTCTAAATGACTCAAGGGGGTTCCAAATGGTTCTGAACTTCCCTAGTTAATTAGATTAATTATCCTTAGTTAATTAGATAGACACTTCTACACGTTCTGACGCGTTCTGAACGGTTTTGAATCATTGTCGAACATTGTGAATTAGTTTTTAAATGTTCTAAATGATTCTGTACAGTTCTAATAAATGTTTCTAGACAATTCTAAATCGTTATGAACTGTTCTGAATCGTCCTAAAGCGTTCTAAATAATTCTAGAGAGTTCTAAATTGTTCTATATTCTAGATGCTTTTAAATCATTATGTAGAGTTATAAATGATTCTTGACCATTCTTAATGATTCTTGACACTTCTTAATGATTTTAGATAATTCTAAATGATTCTAATCAGCTTTGAATGGTTCTGACCTTCCCTAGTTTATTCTGGTCGTTTCCAAAAGTCCAAAAGGTTCTGGATCGTTTCTAAATGATTCTAGATAGTTCTTAAAGGTTCTGTACTTCTCTAGCTTATCCTGGACCGTTTCAAATAGCTGTCAACGATTCTAGGCAGTTATAAATGGTACTGAACTTCCAAAGGGTCTGGATCATTTCTAAATAATTCTATACTGTTATAAATGGTTCTGACCTTTCCCAATTAATCCGAAACCATTACAATTAGTTCTAAATGAATGTAAACAGTTCTAAACGATCGCAAACGTCCCTAGTTTATCTCGGACAGTTCCAAAAGGTTCTGGATTGCTTCTAAATGATTCTAGACAGTTCTAAATAAATCTGACCTTCCCCAATTCATCATAAACAATTGCAATTAATTTTAAATGATTCTAAATGATTTTAATCAGTTTTAAATGGCTCTAAACTTCCCTAGTGAACAGTTTCAAAAGGTCCTGACTCGATTCAAAATGAATCTAGACGGTTCTAAATGATTCCGAATTTCCCTAATTTATCCTGGTCAGTTCCAAAAGGTTCTGGATCGTTTCTAAATGATTCTAAACAGTTCTAAATGATTCTGATCTTCCCTAACTTATCATAAACCGTTGCAATTAGTTCTAAATGATTCTAAGCAGTTCTGAACTATTACAAACGCCCCTAGTTTATCCCTGACACTTCCAAAAGGTTCTCTCCTTTAACCTTAAGTGCCACTTTTTGCATCAACTCAAAGAATCCTTTAAGCTTGATTATGAAATCAATTACACCTCTTAAAGCATCCTTTACATCTTTTCATGAAATCGCCCATTAAACATTACGAATTATCCAAATAATATAGTGTACGAGTACTCCCTAAACGAAGCCCCCTATCTACTAGTACTTCTAACGTAAGTACCTTAATTTCCGTATAATCAGGGGGCGGAAAATGCAAATCCACTTCGGCATTAAACCCGCAACAATTGAAGGCGTTCTGCACGCGCGCCTGCGTCGCGTTATCCACTTGTTTCCAACCCTCTTCGGCCAATTGGGTTTGCTGTTCGCTGTTGACGCCCAAGCAGGCGCAGGCCACCGAGAATTGTATGAGAAACAACAGGAACAAAATCACCATGTACTGAGATAAAATTATTAAGGAAAATTACGAGTTTAAGTGGCGAAACGGCGAAAGTAAGCCGTGTTAATCGAGATAAAACGGACACTTCCTGTTAATTAGTAGCAGCAACGATAAAGGATACGAAAAACAACATGACCTGGTGGTGCTTGACGGCGCCCATTAGACCCAAAAGGGATATTAATAGTAGTATTATTCCGCATGCCAATATGCCCCCGACTATGGGGAGATTGGTTACTATGGTGGCTGCTCGTCCGTACACGGCTACCCCAATCAACACCGAAGCGACTACCTGCAATGGAAAAATGGCGAATGTTAACTGAACGGATACGCGACACTCGTCGGGCTTACGATGTAGAGGATGTTGAGGGTGATGAGGGCGTTTTTCGAGCAGGTAAACCCTCCGCACATTTTAAAAAATATATAATAAAATTATAAAACGATACGCTGACAACCAACTTGTATCGTTCCTTTCGAATGTTACGTCAATTGTCATGTCGGATGTCAATACTGTCAATGTCAATGTAGATGTAAAAATTGATTATAATTTACTAGAAAACACCTAGAAATTAGATGATTAATGTGGTAAATGAGAGTTCATACAAAATAATTAGGTTCAAATCGGTTCTAATTAAGTTCCAGTAGGAGATGATTTATTAATCGTCAGTTGAGGTAAGTTCTAATTAGACAAGGATAGGTACATATTTTGTAGAATGAACACTTCGCAAATAACAAAACCAATATAATACTAATTATAATTTTAATTAATCTTTTTATTTATTATCTAACGTTATAATAACGATGTTATTATTTAATATTTCTCGTTTATTGCACTTGAAATTTATTTAATTTTCTCCTTTTTACGAGGCCTCCACTATATCGCCTATTCAGTACAACTTGTCAACAATGACGTTTGTTTCGAACAAGAAGAAGATATCTAATCAAATTTTTATATTTTCCGCGTGTCGTTTGTTGTGAAACGCACGTGGTGCAACAAGTACATTTAATTATTAACCAATTGCACCATTAATATTTAAAAAATGAGTAAAATCAGAAGCGCCGAAGTGCTCTCGTTAGACAAATCGAAGCAAAAGGAACTCGTAAAGGAAACGAAAGAAATAAAAAAGAAATTAAAGGTAAGTAAACTTGATAGATTATGAATAAAAGAAAACAAATTTTCTAACCTCACTTATCTAAGGACGGCACGATTACGGTAAAAGAAGCCCGTAGGGCGCGCAAATTGAACGTCGAACAATCCAGAGGGCTGGTGTTCATATCCCACCTACCGCACGGGTTCTTCGAGCAGGAGCTCCGGAACTACTACAAGCAATTCGGGAAAGTCACCAACGTTCGAGTATGTCGATCGGGCAACTCCGGAAGGAGCAAGGGATTCGGATACGTGGAGTTCGCCCAGCCGGAGGTAGCCAAAATCGCCGCGGACACCATGAACAATTATCTAATGTTCAAAAAAAGAATTACGGGTAATCAATATACAAGGCTTTTCACGGTAACCGTCCATTAGAAGTATCTCAATAATGAAAAGACTTAAGAATCTGAAATTTTGGTTATAGTATTTTTTGGATAATTTGAATTGATCTAAAATATTTTCATTTTGATTACACTTCCGGTTATACCGGAAGTTGACACCAACTTCGTTATTTTATATGGAAAGTGCCATTTTTAACTTCATTTTTGAATTCTATGGCCTTTTTTAACTAGACTTTGATAATAACACCATATGCCAAAAATGCACCATTTTTAAGATATTACATTTTTTTCGATATTTTTTGGAAAAACAGACGAATGTATTTTCTGTGATATCTCTGTTAATAACGCAGCTAGAACCTTGAAATTAAGTATTGATGATGTCCAGACATACTACTAAATGAAACTAAACTGTATTTTGAGAATGCATGTACAGGACGTTTAAAATTGTCTGACAAACTTGGCCAAATTAAAGTGGTCAAAACTTTGTTATTTCAAATGGACCACCCTGTATTTTTAACAGTGACCAATGCAGTTTTTTAAGCCCTTTCGATCCATATGGGTATTCCCTATACCCAAATCCAGTAGTTTTTGAAATAATCGATAAATTTGAAACAGTAAATACATAACAATAAGTAAACAATAATGCACGGTATAAAATTAATAAATTCAAAAAATATTAATTGTTACACAACATTGACAGTTTTTCTATAATTTCAAGAACTGATTTCATTTATCGCATTGACATAAGGTCACCAAACGGCTAACTAGATAACTCAAAAAAAAGAAAATCCATACCTTATTTAATAAAACTTCGATTATTTAAAAAATTACTGGATTTGGGTATAGGGAATACTCATATGGATCGAAAGGGCTTAAAAAACTGCATTGGTGACTGTTAAAAAATACAGGGTGGTCCATTTGAAATAACAAAGTTTTGACCACTTTAATTTGGCCAAGTTTGTCAGACAATTTTAAACGTCCTGTATATGGATTCTAAAAATACAGTTTAGTTTCATTTAGTAGTATGTCTGGACATCATCGATACTTAATTTCAAGCTTCTAGCTGCATTATTAACAGAGATATCACAGAAAATACATTCGACTGTTTTTCCAAAAAATATCATAAAAATTGTAATATCTTAAAAATAGTGCATTTTTGGCATATGGTGTTATTATCAAAGTCTAGTTAAAAAAAGCCATAGAATTAAAAAATTAAGTTAAAAATGGCACTTTCCATATAAAATAACGAAGTTGGTATCAACTTCCGGTATAACCGGAAGTGTAATCAATATGAAAATATTTTAGATCAATTCATATTATCCAAAAAATACTATAACCAAAATTTCAGATTTTTAAGTCTTTTCATTATTGGGATACTTCTAATGGACGGTTACCGTGAAAAGCCCTGTATACGTCTGGGAATAATATGTACTGTATACAGGGGGTGTCCAAATACTCCAAATAGTTAATGATATGGGGGTAAATGGGTGCAATTTGAGTGAAATTCGTTACACATTATCGAACACCCTGTATATGAATGTGTAAGGAATAATGAGTAAGGTATACAGGGTGTTCAAAAAAGTATGGAAATGCGTTTGGGGGGGGGGCTCTTTTAAACTTCCCTTTGAAGGGTAACGAGGAGCAATTTGGCTGATTTCGTTGCATTTTTTGGACACCCTGCATATGATTGTATAATGAATAACGAATAAAGCATACAGGGTATCTCAAAAAGTATAAAAACTGGTTGAATTTCAGCCACCGTTACCAATATCTAAACTCCATTTGAGCTACCTTTAAAGGGTGTCGGGGAGCAATTTGATTGAAATTTGTTACTCTTTTTGAACACCCTGTATATGACTGTACTCTTTTTGAACACCCTGTATATGACTGTATAATAAATAACGAATAAAGTATACAGGAAGTCTCAAAAAGTATAGAAATGGGTTGAATTTCAGTCATTGATATCAACATCTAAACTTCCTTTAAGCTACCCTTTAAAGGGTAACGGGGAGCGATTTGATTGAAATTCGATGCACTTTGTCAACACCCTGTATAGTTTTTATCTCGGTTAGTTTTCGAGATGATTGCAATTTTTTGTAATATTGGAGCAAATTTGGTAATTTTCATACAGCTTTGATAAAAAACTCGAAATATCTCAAAAATTAAGCGATTTGGAAAAATTTTCGTTTCTTTTTAAGTTGTAAAGAAAATATTTTTCTTCAAAATGAAGTGAACGGGATATTGTTATCTCGATTAGCTTAATTGAGATTTTCTATAAAATTTTAGCAAAATTAGAATTTTTCATACAGTTCATATAAACTCAAAATATCTCCAAATTTAAGTGCTTTTTGGAAAAATTTTGGTTTCGTAAAAGTTGTAGAGAAATATACTGGGTTTTTTATCTCGATTACTTTTCGATTACTACTCGATTACTACACTGCTTTCCGAGATAATTGCGATTTTTCGTAAAATTGCACCAAAATTTAGCGAAGAATTAATTACTGTCACCTGATGACGAACGGAGTACATGTATACAGGGTGTAACTTCTTTTATACGCCATTTTAAATAGAATCCAACAAATTTAATTTTAACCCGTTTAATTTTAACAAGTGTCTAATTTGTTAGAATGTATAAGGAATAACAAGTAAAGTATACAGGGTTTTCAAAAAAGTTTGGAAAACGGGTTGGGGGCCCTCTTTTAAACTTCTTTTTAAAGGGTAACAAGGAGCAATTTGGGTTGAAATTTGTTCCATTTTTTGACACCCTGTATATGACTGTATAATGAATAACGAATAAAGTATACAGGTTGTCCCAAAAAGTATAAAAAGTGGTTAAACTTCCAGTAACCGATACTAACATCTAAACACCCTTTAAGCTACCCTTTAAAGGGTATCCGGGAAGCAATTCGACTGAAATTAGATACATTTTTTACCACCCTGTATATGACTGTTTATTGAATAACGAATAAAATATACAGGATGTCCCAAAAAGAATACAAAACTGGTTAAATTTCACTCACCGATATCAACATCTAAAGCCTCTTTTAAACTCCACTTTAAACGCTATCCGGTAGCAATTCAACATACTTTTAGACCACCCTGTATATGAATAACAATGAATAACGAATAAAGTATACAGGATGTCTCAAAAAGTATAGAAATGGGTTGAATTTCAGTCATTGATATCAACATCTAAACTTCCTTTAAGCTACCCTTTAAAGAGTATTTTGGAGCAATTCGACTGAAATTAGATACATTTTTTACCAACCTGTATATGACTGTTTATTGAATAACGAATAAAGTATACAGGATTTCCCAAAAAGAATACAAAACTGGTTAAATTTCACTCACCGATATCAACAACTAAAGCCTCTTTTAAACTCCACTTTAAATGCTATCCGGTAGCAATTCAACATACTTTTAGACCACCCTGTATACAGGGTGTTTCATTGGGAAAGGGCAATATTTTAACCCTATATAGAGGTCACCCAGGGGATTACAAAAAACCCATATACTATGGGTCTTGCGCCCTTTATAACCGAGTTACAGGGTGTTTTTTGAATTTGGCCCATTTCTTTCGACACCTATAACTTTTGAATCACTCAGTATATTTTTTGATATTTGGCATAGATATTCTATACCTTTACGACAATTTAGTGCCACATTAAAAAATTACAAAATCCAGGTCCGGATTTAGAAAAATTATTAAAATTTGACCGACCCTAAAACAACACCCTATACATCATATTTTTAAAAATTTAATTTCAAATTCAGAAAGAGCATAAAAAACTGAATGTATTCATCAACTTTTTATTTTCCCGCATGGCGTTTTTCTACCAAAATTTAAACGTTAAAATGTACATTATGAGATTTTTGATCCATGTAAATTGTAATTGAAGGGATTTTAATTATTTTTTCTTTAATAAAACCAGATTTACTTAACACTTTCATGAAAATTCTTGAAATAGACCTATTGAACTTGAATTAACATTCACATAAACCAATAAAAATTACAATTACAGATCCGCACTTAATAAAATTAAAATGATTTCATTTCATTTAATAATTATTTTTTTTTAAATATGAAAAAAATATACTGAGTGATTCAAAAGTTATAGGTGTCGAAAGAAATTGGTCAAATTCAAAAAACACCCTGTAACTCGGTTATAAAGAGCGCAAGACCCATAATACAGGGTGTCCCAATAGTGCGGTAAAGCCCATTTACTCAGTTATTATAATAGATACGAAAAAATGATAAATAGGAAAAATGTTAAGCACCTTTAGGCACACAATTTAAAATTATTTCGAAATATACAGGGTGGCCCATAAATCGATGCCATACCAAACATACCTTTTTTTAAAGGCAATGATATATTTTTTATTTCATATTCGATTTCAGCTCGTATTCACGAGTTTCTCAATATAAAATTTCATATGACTATACTGAGTATTTAAAAAGTTATGGCCATTTTTATGTTCAAATCGACATGATTTCAAGGCCCTGTATATCAGAATCTGTATCAGATAATGTGAATTTTTCTGTGTCAGCACTTTTTGAAAATGGTCTATTTTCACAAAAAATAGTTACATTCTGACAAAATTACAATTTGTATACAGGGTGGGTCAAAACGCAAACATAATAATTACTCGCTTAATTTAAATGGAACACCCTATATTAATAATATCCAATGGGAAGTCTATTTCTTACTGAATCTTTTTTCGTAACATTTCCCTATACCTAACTGTCACCGTTTCTGAGATATTTTCAGTTTTATTAAAAAATGTCCAGTTTTTGATGTTATAATTTCATTTTGATCTAATTACCAATGATGTTGTCGACCTTTTTTTGCAAAATAATAGTAGAAAATGTAATATCAATTAATTAACGATCATTACCTACCCGAAATATTTGGTAATTTTTAAATTAAACTTTAAATTATTATAATTTTAATTTAATCTAGTTACCTCTATGACGTCATCATCTACGAACTATGCGAATTTTTCTTATTGAACTCGTGTCACTGTAAATTATAGAATAACTAAAAATTTAGGATACCTGCTAATGAAATTTGATTAATCATTAATCGATATTTAATTTTCTACTATTATTTGGCAAAAAAAGTTCGAAGACGTCATTGGTAATTAGATTAAAATGGAATTATAATATTAAAAACTGGACATTTTTTAATAAAACTGAAAATATCTCAGAAACGGTGACAGTTAGGTATAGGGAAATGTTAAGAAAAAAGATTCAGTAAGAAATAGACTTCCTATTGGATATTATTAATATAGGGTGTTCCATTTAAATTAAGCGAGTAATTATTATGTTTGCGTTTTGACCCACCCTGTATACAAATTGTAATTTTGTCAGAATGTAACTATTTTTTGTGAAAATAAACCATTTTCAAAAAGTGCTGGACACAGAAAAATTCACATTATCTGATACAGATTCTGATATACAGGGCCTTGAAATCATGTCGATTTGAACATAAAAATGGCCATAACTTTTTAAATATTCAGTATAGTCATATGAAATCTTATATTGAGAAACTCGTGAATACGAGCTGAAATCGAATATGAAATAAAAAATATATCATTGCCTTTAAAAAAAGGTATGTTTGGTATGGCATCGATTTATGGGCCACCCTGTATATTTCGAAATAATTTTAAATTGTGCGCCTAAAGGTGCTTAACATTTTTCCTATTTATCATTTTTTCGTATCTATTATAATAACTGAGTAAATGGGCTTTACCGCACTATTGGGACACCCTGTATATGGGTTTTTTGTAATCCCCTGGGGACCTCTATATAGGGTTAAAATATTGCCCTTTCCCAATGAAACACCCTGTATGAATAACAATGAATAACGTACGATCCAATTTCCAGCCGAGTACGTTCCGTACGAAAAGCGCCCCAAAGGGATCTTCATAGGAAAATCCACGACATTGGAAAAGTACTCGAAGAAAGCCAGAAGGGACAGGCAGAAACAGGCCAATTTAAACATGAACGAAACGACTCACGCCAGAAGAGCCAGTTTGAGGATATCCAGATTGGCCAAACGTCTGGAAAAGCTCGGCGAATTGGGCGTGGATATGTCGAATTCGCTGGATGTCATGCCCGTAATAGAGCGAGGTGGTGAGGAAAAGCGGCTGGAAAACGGGGGGAAAATCGGGAGGTCTCCTTCCGGGAGGAGTAGGTCGAAATCGGAGGCGGAAAATGGCGATGGGGCATCGAAGAAACCTTCTCCGGAAGTGAAAAAATCGAGGAAATCGATTGGGAAAGTGGAGAAAACTGGCTTGTTGGATAGGGAAACTGTGAGAAAAGTGGCGAGGGAGTTGATCAAGAAAAAGGGGGATTCGTTGGTGAAAGTTGCGGGGAAACCCAAAAGGAAATCCGTGAAAAAGTAATACGTTTATTTATTTACTTGTAGGTGTATAAAAAATAAAAATATGAAATAATTTACAAGTTTATTTTGTTACAATAACTTTGGTTTTGTTTTATCAGAGTTTTTTAAGGAGGCTTTGAAAAGTTGAGTTTATAGGCCGTTCGCTATTGGGAGATAGTAATGGAAGTTAGTTGTGTGTGTGATAAAGATGGGACGAGTGAGTCGATCAAAAAAAGTTGTAAAATTGCAAAAAATTTTAAGTTTTATTTTTTCATAAAAACTCGTAATATCTCAAAATTTAAGCGATTTTTGAAATTTTTTGATTTTATATAGAGAAAATATTTTTCTTCAAAATTAAATATACCGAGTGTTTTTATCTTGATTAGTTTTCGAGATAATTGCAATTTATTGTCAATATTTTAGTAAAATAGGTTATTTTGATACAGCTCATAAAAAACTCGAAATATTTCGAAATTTAAGCAAAATTTTGGAAAATTTTTGATTCTACAAGTTGTAAGGAATTGTTTTTTTTATTGAAATATACTGGGTGTTTTTTTTTATTACAATTAGTTTTCGAGATAATTGCAATTTTCGGTCGTATTGTACATAGCAAAATTGGTAATTTTGATACAGCTCATAAAAATCGAAATATCTCAAAAATTAAGCAATTTTTTACTCTATAAAAGTTGTAAAGAAGTATTTTTCTTTAAAAATAAAATAAATGCGATGTTATATCAATTAGTTTCCGAGATAATTGCGATTTTCACAAAAGCGCCTGGAAAATCGGGAAATCACCCTCCAGGATCGAAATCGGAGGTTGAAAATGGAGATCGAAGAAGTCTTCTCCGGATGTGAAAAAATCGAGAAAATCGATTGGGAAAGTGGAGAAAACTGGCTTGTTGGATAGGGAAACTGTGAGAAAAGTGGCGAGGGAGTTGATCAAGAAAAAGGGGGTGAAATTCGTTGGTGAAAGTTGCCGGGAAACCCAAAAGGAAATCCGTAAAAAAATAATACTATAGGTGTATAAAAATAAAAAATATAAAATAATTTACAAGTTTATTTTGTTACATTTACATTACTTTGGTTTGGTTTTATGAGATTTTTTTTGGATGAGATGGATGCTTAGTTGGCTTTGGAATTGTTGCGATGATTTTTGTTTCTTTTCCATTTCATCCGTCTGTTTTGGAACCAAACTTTTACCTGTGAAAAATAGTGAGAAGGCTTTGAATGGTTGAGTTTATAGTCCGTTCGTTATCGAGAGATAGTAATGAAAGTTAATTGTGTGTGATAAAGATTGGACGAGTGAGTCGATTAAAAAGTTGTAAAATTGTTTAAGGTTTTTTTTATAAACACTCGAAATTTCAGCAATTTTTGGAATTTTTTTTATTCTACAAGTTGTAGGAAACAGTTTTTCCTTCAAAATGCGATATTTTCTCAAATTGTAGCAAAATTGGTAATTTTCATAAAGTTCATAAAAACTCGAAGTATCTCGAAAGGTAAGCTCTTTTGGCAAATTTTGCATTCTGTAAAACTTCTGTAGAGAAAATATTTTTATTTAAAATAAAATAAATGTTTTTATGTCAATTAGTTTTCGAGATAATAGAGATTTTTTATCAAATTGTAGTAAAACTGGTAATTTTAATAGTGTTCATGAAAATCGAAATATCTCGAAGCTAAATTGATTTTGGAAATTTTTCGATTCTTTAAGTTGTAGAGAAAATATTTTTCTTCAAAATGAAGTAAACGGGATATTTTTATCTCCATTAGCATTCGAGTTAATTGGGATTTTCTATATTTTAGCAAAATTGGAATTTTTCATACAGTTCATATAAACTCAAAATATCTCCAAATTTAAGCGATTTTTGAAAATTTTTGGTTTCGTAAAAGTTGTAGAGAAATATTTTTCTTTAAAATGAAATATAATGGGTGTTTTTATCTCGGTTAGTTTTCGAGATAATTGCAATTTTTTGTAATATTGGAGCAAAATTGTTAATTTTGATACAGCTTTGATAAAAAAAACTCGAAATATCTCAAAAATTAAGCGATTTGGGAAAATTTTCATTTCTTTTTAAGTTGTAGAGAAAATATTTTTCTTCAAAATGAAGTGAACGGGATATTGTTATCTCGATTAGCTTAATTGAGATTTTCTATAAAATTTTAGCAAAATTAGATATTTTCATACAGTTCATATAAACTCATTATCTCCAAATTTAAGTGCTTTTTGGAAATTTTTGGTTTCGTAAAAGTTGTAGAGAAATATACTGGGCTTTTTATCTCGATTACTTTTCGAGAAAATTTCGATTTACTGTCAAATTGTAGCAAAATTGGTAATTTTGATGAAGCACATAAAAACTCGAAATATCTCAAAAATTAAGGTATTTTGGAAAATTTTTGATTCTATAAGGCAATAAATGCCATGTTTTTATCCGCTGCTTTCCGAGATAATTGCGATTTTTCGTAAAATTGCACCAGAATTTAGCGAAGAATTAATTACTGTCACCTGATGACGAACGGAGTACATGTATACAGGGTGTAACTTCTTTTATACGCCATTTTAAATAGAATCCAACGGACTTAATTTTAATAACCCTTTAAACAAGTGTCTAATTTATAACCCACCTTTTTTGTTACACCCTGTAGAAATGCTTACGTATACACCTACTTGTCTTTCGGTCAAATCCAAAGCCACCGCGATTTCGTACCTCCTCAATCTCGTCAAATAATTCGAGTGGGCGAATTCATTTTCCAAATCTCTTATTTGATTTTTCGAAAAGGCCGTTCGTTCTTTCCTCTGCTTGATCGAGCTGTTGTCCTTGTCTTCCATTAAATCTGTACACAATATAATATACAGGGTGTTTACTTTAAGTGATAAGAAAATGAGAAAATTTTCTCAGTTAATAGATATTTGTGTAATTAAAAGACGCTGTAATGGGTCAGTTTTTGTTTTTGGAATTGAATTAAAGGTGCTTAAAATGTTTACACCTAAATGAAGCCCTCTCAGTAGGAGACGTACCATTGTCTAGAACTGACTAGAACCATTTAGAACGCTTCAGAATCGTTTAGAACGATCTATAACCATTTAGAACGCTCTAAAATCATTTAGAACTGAATAGAACCATTTAGAACACTCCAGAATTGTTTAGAACGGTTTAGAACCATTTAGAACGCTCCAGAATTGTTTAGAACTGTCTAGAATCATTTAGAATGCTTCAGAATTGTTTAGAACCATTTAGAACGCTCCAGAATTGTTTAGAACTGTTTAGAACCATTTAAAACGCTCCAGAATTGTTTAGAACTGTTTAGAACCATTTAGAACGCTCCAGAATTGTTTAGAACCATTTAGAACGCTCCAGAATTGTTTAGAACCATTTAGAACGCTCCAGAATTGTTTAGAACTGTTTAGAACCATTTAGAACGCTCCAGAATTGTTTAGAACCATTTAAAACGCTCCAGAATTGTTTAGAACTGTTTAGAACCATTTAGAACGCTCCAGAATTGTTTAGAACCATTTAGAACGCTCCAGAATTGTTTAGAACCATTTAGAACGCTCCAGAATTGTTTAGAACTGTCTAGAATCATTTAGAATGCTTCAGAACCATTTAGAACGCTCCAGAATTATTTAGAACTGTTTAGAACCATTTAGAACGCTCCAGAATTGTTTAGAACCATTTAAAACGCTTCAGAATCGTTTAGAACGATCTATAACCATTTAGAACGCTCTAAAATCATTTAGAACTGAATAGAACCATTTAGAACGCTTTAGATTCATTTAGATCTGTCTAGAAGCATTTAGAAGCATCTACAACAATTTAGAACGCTCCAGAATCATTTAGAAATCTCCAGAACCATTTAGGACGCTCCAGAATTGTTTAGAACTGTCTAGAATCATTTAGAATACTTCAGAACCATTTAGAACGCTCCAGAATTGTCCAGAAACGCTTAGAACTGTTTAGAACTGTTTAGAACCATTTAGAACGCTCCTGAATTGTTTAGAACTGTCTAGAATCATTTAGAATGCTTCAGAACCATTTAGAACGCTCCAGAATTGTCCAGAAACGCTTAGAACTGTTTAGAACTGTTTAGAACCATTTAGAATGCTCATGAACTATTTAGAACTGTCTAGAACCAATTTGAACGATCCGGAACCATTTAGAACGGTCTATAACCATTTAGTACGCTTCAGATTCATTTAGGCCTGTTTAGAATCATTTAGAAGTATCTACAACAATTTAAAACGCTCCAGAATCATTTATCTAGAACCATTTAGAATGCATTAGAACAATTAAGAGCTGTCTAGAACTATTTAGAACTCTCCAGAACCATTTAGAACGGTCTAGAACCATTTAGAATGCTTCAGAATCATTTAAAACTGTCTAGAAAACCTTTCTATCATACAATATACAGGGTGATTCAGAACTTATCCGAAAAAATTAAACGGGATGTAGTATAGCATCATAGAAAACCAGTAGTGCAATTTTTGCGGAAAAATTCCAAAGTGAAAAACTAATTTAAAAATACCCCTAGCACGCCTCTGAAAACTGGACGACTGGAATTAATTGTGTTCGCTCTGTATAAAACTTTATAATTTTTTTCCGGCGTAACTAAAGGGAATTTATTACAATTTTTTTCGCGATATGGGTTTAGAATTTTATGCTCTATATTCCCTTAATTTTTTTCGGATAAGTTCTGAATCAACCTGTATAAATAGATAAGAAAAAAAATTAATAAATTAGACCACCCGGTAGGGCAAATATACCTACCGGAATAATCGCCCTTGTCACAAACCTCCATTAATTATAATACATACAGGGTGTCCCAATAGTGCGGCAAATTTAATTTTCTACTATTATTTTGCAAAAAAGGTCGACAACATCATTGGTAATTAGATTAAAATGAAATTATAATATCAAAAACTGGACATTTTTTAATAAAACTGAAAATATCTCAGAAACGGGGACAGTTAGATATAGGGAAATGTTATGAAAAATGATTCAGTAAGAAATAAACTTCCCATTGGATATTATTAATATAGGGTGTTCCATTTAAATTAAGCGAGTAATTATTATGTTTGCGTTTTGACTCACCCTGTATACAAATTGCAATTTTGTCAAAATATACCTAATTTTTGTGAAAATAGACCAGTTTCAAAAAGTGATGACACAGAAAAATTCACATTATCTGATACAGATTCTGATATACAGGGCCTTGAAATCATGTCGATTTGAACATAAAAATGGCCATAACTTTTTAAATACTCAGTATAGTAATATGAAATCTTATATTGAGAAACTCGTGAATACGAGCTGAAATCGAATATGAAATAAAAAATATATCATTGCCTTTAAAAAAAGGTATGTTTGGTATGCCTTCGATTTATGGGCCACCCTGTATATTTCGAAATAATTTTAAATTGTGCGCCTAAAGGTACTTAACATTTTTCCTATTTACCATTTTTTCGTATCTATTATAATAACTGAGTAAATGGGCTTTACCGCACTATTGGGACACCCTGTACATATTATATCTTCTCGCATGGTTGAACATGTGTAACATTTAAAATCTTTGGCACTTTTCACCGAATTCCTGTTTTCACTAGAACGTGATTTATTCTGTTTACACAAGGCCTCGCTCAGAAGAAAAACACACGAATTTATAGTTCATTCGCTAAATTTTACACGGATTTCGGAGCAAAAAGATTATTTGTTGTTGTTAATGACCCTAGTTTACAAATTTTACATTTATTTCGTTCAACTGAAAGGTTTTTGAGAGTTTTGAAGCGTTCTAAATGGTTCTAGGCATTTCTAAATGATTCTACACAGTTCTGGATCGTTCTAAATGGTTCTGGACTGTTCGAAAAAGTTTTGGTGCGTTCTAAATGGTTCTATAGAGCTTTAATTAGTTCTAGACAGTTCTAAATGATTCTACACAGTTCTAATTGGTTTTGAAGCGTTCTAATTGGTTCTAGAGAGTTCTAAATGATTCTACACAGTTCTGGATCGTTCTAAATGGTTCTAGACTATTCTCAATGATTCTACACAGTTCTAAATAGTTTTGATACGTTCAAAATGGTTCTTTAGCATTCTAATTGGTTCTAGAGAGTTCTAAATGATTCTACACAGTTCTGGATCGTTCTAAATGGTTCTGGACTATTCGAAATTATTCTACACAGTTCTAAATAATTTTGGTGGGTTCTTAATGGTTCTATAGAGCTTTAATTAGTTCTAGACAGTTCTAAATGATTCTACACAGTTCTAATTGGTTTTGAAGCGTTCTAATTGGTTCTAGAGAATTCTAAATGATTCTACACAGTTCTGGATCGTTCTAAATGGTTCTAGACTATTCTCAATGATTCTACACAGTTCTAAATAATTTTGGTGCGTTCAAAATGGTTCTGTAACGTTCTAATTGGTTCTAGACGGTTCTAAATGATTCTACACAGTTCTAAACGATTTTACACAGTTCTTTAAGATTCAAGTCAGTTCTAAATAGTTTTGGAGGGTTCTGAATAGTTCTAGACAGCTCGAAATAATTCTGAAGCATTCTACATGGTTCTGGAGATATTGAATCTGAATAATTCTGGAGCACTCTAAATTGATGTAGATGCTTCTAAATGATTTTAGACAGATCTACATGAATCTGAAGCGTTCTAAATGATTCTAGGCAGCTTTAAATGATTCTCTAGCGTTCTTAATTGTTCTAGCTAGGCAGTTCTAAGTAATTCTGGAGCTTACTAAATGGTTCTAGGTAGCTCTAAATATTTTTAGAGCGTTCTAAATTATTTTAGACTCTTCTACATCACTATGTACAGTTCTAAATGATTCTAGACAATTTTAAATGATTCTAGATAGTTCTAAATGATTCTGGAGTAATAAAAATTTAAAATAGTTTAAATGATTTTTAACGATTTTAGGAAATTTTCTATTCTATTTAAGTTGCAGAGAAATGCTTTTTCTGTAAAATAAAGCAATTATTATGACTTAAATTAGGAATTTCGATACAGGTTATAAAAAAATTCAAAATATCTCGAAGTGATTTTGAAAAATCTAAGATTCTTTAAAAGTTTTAGAGAAAACTTTTTCCCTTTTCCATTTTTATATCATCAATTAGTTTTCGTAATAATTGCGATTTTCTATCAAATTATTGCGATTTTCTATCAAGAAAAATTAGTTATTTTGATAGAATTCTTAAAAATTCAAAATATCTCGAAATATAAGCAAATTTGGAAACAAATTAATGATTCTAGATAGTTTCAAAATGTTTTTGGAGTGTTCTAAATTATTTTAGACGCTTCTAGATCACTATATACAGTTCTAAATGATTCTAGACAATTTTGATTCTAGAATAGTTCTAAACGATTCTGGAGTATTCTAAATATTTCTAGACTTCTAGACAATTCTAAATGATTCTCCAGCGTTCTAAATAATTCTAGACAGTTCTAAGACAGTTCTAAGTGATTTTTGAGCGTTCTAAGTGGATGTAAACGATTCTAGACAGTTCTAAACTATTCTAGACATTTCGAAATAATTCTTGAGTTGTAAGTTGATGATTCTATTGATGATAAGTTCAGCGAATGTACTATATTTATTCTATATTAATATTATGTACTCACCCTTAGAGCCTTCCGAATACGAAGTACCATTAATTTCGCCAGATCCAAATGAACTCCCATCGTTAGAATAATAATAATAATAATCGTGCACTGTTTCCCGGTAATCCCAATAAGGCGTCCAGTAATTCGAAATGTAAGGATTCTCTTCGTACGGATTCTTCGGAATTTGCATTTTGAATCATCGATAAAAATTAAAAAAATTTGAATTTTTTCGAAAAAATTTGTTAAAATTTATTTCGAATCTTTCATCTTTATAATCTTCTCGCGGAAAACTTGTCAATTAAAGTGGAGATGCGTTTAATTCGACTGTCGGTGGTGTAATTAACTCGGACGTTCGTCGGGTGTTGATTTTAAAAGATGTCTCGTTAGCATTTCGAGCGAAATGTGGCCGGATAACCGAATGGGATTGGTCTCGCGTTTGACGGGTCGTGGGTGGCTTTGAAAATAGACCTTTTTGGTATCCGATTGGTCGGGTATGAGGGTGGAAAGTTGTTGCTTGAAAATTGTTGGTTTTTTCGAAGGAAATATAGGCCGCTTCGATTGCCCGATTTAGGCCTTATTGAGGTTTATTCGTGGAAATTTTAGGTAAGGTTTTTATTGGGAATTTTTGTTGTTTTTTTTTATGGAAATATAGGCCACTTCGATTGCCTGATTTAGGCCTTATTGAAGTTTTTTAGTGGTGATTTTTGGCAAGGTTTTTATTGGGAATTTTTGTTGTTTTTTACATGGAAATATAGGCCACTTCGATTGCCCGATTTAGGCCTTATTGAAGTTTATTCGTGGTGATTTTAGGCAAGGTTTTTATTGGGAATTTTTGTTGTTTTTTTCATGTAAATATATAGGCCACTTCGATGCCTGATTTAGGCTTTATTGAAGTTTATTCGTGGTGATTTTAGGCAAGGTTTTTATTGGGAATTTTTGTTGTTTTTTTCATGTAAATATAGGCCACTTCGATTGCCTGATTTAGGCCTTATTGAAGTTTATTCGTGGTGATTTTAGGCAAGGTTTTTATTGGGAATTTTTGTTGTTTTTTTCATGTAAATATAGGCCACTTCGATTGCCTGATTTAGGCTTTATTGAAGTTTATTCGTGGTGATTTTAGGCAAGGTTTTTATTGGGAATTTTTGTTGTTTTTTTCATGTAAATATAGGCCACTTCGATTGCCTGATTTAGGCCTTATTGAAGTTTTTTCGTGGTGATTTTAGGCAAGGTTTTTATTGGGAATTTTTGTTGTTTTTTTCATGGAAATATATAGGCCACTTCGATTGCCTGATTTAGGCTTTATTGAAGTTTATTCGTGGTGATTTTAGGCAAGGTTTTTATTGGGAATTTTTGTTGTTTTTTTCATGTAAATATAGGCCACTTCGATTGCCTGATTTAGGCTTTATTGAAGTTTATTCGTGGTGATTTTAGGCAAGGTTTTTATTGGGAATTTTTGTTGTTTTTTTCATGTAAATATAAGCCACTTCGATTGCCTGATTTAGGCTTTATTGAAGTTTATTCGTGGTGATTTTAGGCAAGGTTTTTATTGGGAATTTTTGTTGTTTTTTTCATGTAAATATAGGCCACTTCGATTGCCTGATTTAGGCCTTATTGAAGTTTTTTCGTGGTGATTTTAGGCAAGGTTTTTATTGGGAATTTTTGTTGTTTTTTTCATGTAAATATAGGCCACTTCGATTGCCTGATTTAGGCCTTATTGAAGTTTATTCGTGGTGATTTTAGGCAAGGTTTTTATTGGAAATTTTTGTTGTTTTTTTAATTGAAATATAGGCCACTTCGATTGCCAGATTTGAGCCTTATTGAGGTTTATTCGTGGAAATTTTAGGCAAGATTTTTATAGGAATTTTTGTTGTTTTTTAATGAAAATTTAGGTCGCTTCGATCGCCTGATTAAGGTCTCATTGGGTTTTTTTGTGGAGTTTTATACGATTTTGTGGCGATGTTTTTGTTGGGAATTATACTCCGTTCGACATCGACAAAATATAATTCTAAAAATTGCATTAGAATAAAAAATTAGTAATTCGGTAAACTCGAAATATCTCGAAATTTAAACAAATTTGGAAAAATTTTAAATCTAAAAATTGTAGAGAATATATTTGTCTTCAAAGTGAAATATAAAGAGTGGTTTTATCTCGATTGGCTTTCGAGAAAACGGCAATTTTCTGTCAAATTGTAGCAAATTTGGTAATTTAGATATACAGTTAAGAAAAACTAAAAATATCTCGAAATTTAAACAATTCTGGAAAAATCTTAGATCTATAAGTAAAACATAAAAATGTTTTTTCTTCAAAATGAAATAAATGGGATGTTTTTATCTCGATTAGTTTTCGACATTTCGAAATGCTTTTCTCGATACTTACAAATCTTATTTTACTTTTTAATAAAATTAATTGATTTATCATTCATTGATATCTAATTATTACAAATAGCAAATAGGGTAAATAAATTAAAGGTAATAAATTAGGTAGCTAGTTATTAATTCAATAATGCCTACATTTTAATATTATTTTTCGATTTACTGCTTCAAGAAGGTTTTATTACCTACTATCAATCACCTGATAGCTAATGGAATATAAAATATTTCAACCCTTTTGTAATCGGTTAATATTAAATAATAATCTTTATCTTTTATCGCGAATCGTGTGTAGTACATGTTGAGTAAGATGTTAAGAAACCCGCGGTTTCTTTGATATGCATTTATCTATTAGATCTAAATAGCATCATTTGGTGCAGATTTAATTAACAAAAAAATTGGTTAAAACCTTCAACGTTGGTGGCCATTCGACTTAAATCTCAAACCTTCCTCGAATAATATCTATCCCAAATTGAATTAACTATAATGTAAATAAATAGTACAAGTAAATGCTTCTCTAAAGGCTCAAAAATGGCTCTAACGCTCATATATTCGCCAATTTGGCTTGTCAACATGATAACTATCAGTGTGATCAAATTTAACAGTCGGTTAACCATTTTTTTGTTATTCACCACGATATTTGAAGTAAACCTTTTACTTAAAAATAACCAAGTTTAATAACTAAGTTCAATAAATTGGATATTCGGATTGAAGTTATCAATCTGTTACTTCGTTTATCAGTTCCATTTTGCTCTGTTACTTTTATCTGACTGTTAAGTAGTAATTAAAATTGGTGTTTGACGAAAATATGATGTTAAAAGATTGATAAGAACTTATCTCTCTGTTAGGGATTTAATTCCATTAGAAGTTATACAGGGTGTTATTGAAATGAATGTACATATTTAAACTGTGAAGAATATTTGATATCAAAAAATGAATGGCACTAATTTTAGTATTAAATTCAAACAAATAAATCGGGGGCAAAATACCCCTTTTTCCGACCTTTGCACTACGCCTAGTAGTACACCAACTAGTAACTAGTAGTACTAGTAACCTACTAGTACTAAGAATTTGAAAATTTAGGAACAAAGAATAATCAATGTGAGTTTTTCAAAAATATTTTCAATCATATGTAACTCTCGGTTGTACCGGAAGTAGATGTCAACTTCGTTATTTCAAATAGAAAGTACCATTTTTGACATCATTTTTGGATTCTGTGGCTCTTTTTGACTATTTGAGTTTTTGAATTTTTTTGGAAAAATGGTCGAATGCATTTTCTATTGATATCTCTGGTAATAAAGCACCTAGAAGTTTGAAATTTGATACCGATAATGCCCCAATACTGTACTAAATAAAACTAAACTGAGTTTTCGTGGTCTATTTACAGAGCGTTTAAAATTGTTTGACTAACTTGGCTAACTTAAAGTGGCTATAACATTGTTATTTAAATGGATCACCCTGTATTTTTAGTCATTGAACTATGGAGATTTTTAAGCCCTTTTGATCCATGTAGGTATTCCCTATAACCAAATCCAGTAGTTTTTTGAAATAATGAATCTTTTGTTCATTAGGCTTGAAGAATTCTTGACTTCTGTTTTAATTCTCCAGTTATTGAGACTGCTATTAGATGCCTTTAATAAACCATGAATATGTCATAACTTCATCATTAAAAAAATAGTTAATAAATAAACTAATTGAAGATGAAGAGATGAAATTTTAAAAAATGTTTAAGATGAAGATTTTTAGTCTGCATTCCTTTTTCAAATTTTACTTAAATCTTGCAAAATGTAGAGAATATTAGGAAAGAAAACACCAATAAATATTATTTAATTATTTTTAATACATTTACGAATATAAGCTAAAATTTTTAGTAAACTATGTAGAGTATTCAACGAACAATATCATCATATACCATTCCCATATCATCAATGACGAGATGTTAATTTAAAAGAATAAATCAACCGTGTTTCTTGGTTCAGAATATATCAAACAAAAGGGATATAAAAAGTTAGATAATACTTAAACGGTAGTTAAATAACAGCAAACGGAATCTACAATTTGTTCAATTAGTGAATTGTAGTTTTAATTTTTTGATTGTGACGTATAGTTATGGTGCATTAAAGGCACAAATAGCCATCTAGATAACAAAAAAAGGTATTATAATAGTATAATTAATAAAATTTCGATTATTTCAAAAACGACTAGTTTTGAGTGTAGGGAATACCTATATGGCTCGAAAGTACTTAAAAATATCCATTGCTTAATGCCTAAAAATACAGAGTGATCCATTTGAAATAACAAAGTTATGACCACTTTATGTTAGGCAAGTTTGTTAGGTAATTTTAAACGCCTTGTAAATAGAAATGAAAAAAATAAAGATAGACCATAAATAAATAATATACCATGTAAAAAATAAAAAAATAGAAAATAAAAATAAACCATAATCATAAAAAATGTATTAGACCGTTTTTCCAAAAAAATTTGAAAAAAAATTAAATAACTCAATGGTGGCGTATTTTTATCAATGGTGTTATTTTCAAAGTCTAGTTAAAAAAGACACAGAATCCAAAAATGAAGTCAAAAATGACATTTTAAGCGGAAGTCACATATAGTTGAAAATATTTTAGAAAAACTCACAACGTTGATTATCCTCTACTCCAAAATTTTCATATTTCTAACTCTTCAGAAATCTCCTATAACTCTCCTATAACTTCTAATAGAAGGTTATCTTGAAAAGATCTGTATACACGGTGTCTGCTATAAAAACCGCCAAACTTGAGGAGGTGATTATACAAGTAATTTTGAACAAAAAATGTCCTATAACACTTTTTTTGAAAACTTAATAGTTTCTCTTTTATTTATCATTTCATTGTTTTAAATTTTTTTTTGTTTTTTTTTCCAAAAAGACCGAAATATCACATTTATTCGTATAGTCACAATAATTTTGATCATATACCGTAAAAGTGCATTAAATTTGCTACAAAAAAGTATTTATCAGAGTTAAAAAAAATCAATACCGGGTGTTATAAAAGATTTAATTGTTATGAATATGAATTATATGTATCTTTTAATGGTCGTAAAGCCAAGAATTTTATAAAAATCATAAGTTTTTTTTAGCAAAAACTACTGTATTTAATAAGCTTAATTTTTTGTTCTTCAATTTTAAGTTCTATTTTTTTTAATTGAAATATC